GCGGTAGAGGCAGACCTGGCCACGTGATGCATCGTGGAGGCATGTCAGGGTAAGAAGTTAAAAAGGAGCAAAGTGTTTGTTTCCTGTTAAGGGACATTTCTTCTATTTAAATTGGTCAAAGAAACATTTTATGGGAGTTATCAAATTTGTTACTTAAAATGTCAAGGAATAATAAAATATCCCCATGGTTTTTATGTAGTGCTTTTTATGGAAGAGTGAAAACAAAAAGAACACCCATTCTAGCAACCTGACTATACCAGCATGAGAGAATATTAAAATACCTGAATCCCTTTCCAGGCGTGGCAGTTTCATGCAGGGTGGCAATCAGAGTCAGATCATGCACGGAGGAGGAATGCAAGGAGAAGGATTTGCTGGCCAGGAAAGGGCAAACAGACCGAACGATCCTCGTTTCAACCGTCGCTACTGATTGTGTTTGGTTTTTAATGCGAGGTAGCAAGTGAAACAAATCTGTTACCCAGGGTTACCATTAATTGTAACTTATGGGCTACTGTAAGTGTAATTTTTTTTAAGCTGCTGCCATATTATGTCACTCAATCCAATGTGAACTCATTTGTTTTGTAAGGTGTTGTTCATATCCCATTTAAAATGTTTGTTAATGAAGCATTCCATTTTCCATAAATAAACACCAGTTTACAGTTACTTGGGTTTGTTTCAGCAGTCCCTGTCGCACAGATTTCTTCAGCTATATGTTAAACCATAACTTTATTTCAAAGATGAATTGTCAAAATGCCTTACAGGTGTCCCTTTGCACTCCCAGAAATAGTGAAATCCTGTTTTACCTCAGAGCTGTCAGTTACCAGCCATGGAACCATGTGCCACTGTGACAGAACCTTAGTGGATCACAGCTGTCAAAGGACCTGCCACTGCAAAATTGCCACAGGAGCTTGTAGGGCATGTGGTGAAGAATTCTTTTCATCTGGTGTCATGTGCAGTATAATGTGTGAGAAGGGAGTTACATTCTGTGATAGCAGCACAGCTGTAAGAGACAGCACAGAGGTGCTTGTGACCCTCTTGCAGGTGCCTGTCAGGACCACTTTATTTAGCTTCTGATACATCAGGGTAGTCCAAAACTTCACCAGTCTTTCAGCCCAGAAATTTTACCTAGCAATCCGTAATTTCCTTAGAAGCAGCCACTGGCTGTGCTTTGGCATAATTTTGTGTTGAGGAACTGACATGATCGAGACTGGTGCAAATGATCTGTTGTCATATCCAAGTTGGAATTTGTTTTTGTGCAGACTTCTGGAGCATGACCTTAGCCTTACCTTAAAATGGCTTTTATGATGCCAAGAGGAAAAAAAACGCTGTCACTTGGCATTTGTAGGATCACTGGGTTTTTTTGATCTTTAGAGAAGGGTTTTTTTATGAGTTGCCTGAAGATACCTTTTCATTCATCAATGTAGAAAGCGTATTAAAACAACGAAGCTTTGCAGAGCCATCATCAAAGGGCAAAGAAGTGGTACAGAAGATCCTGAAAAGCATGGAGAACTCAAGTTCTGAGCATGCCAGAGGTGCAGTATTCTGTTTGTACATGGTGTGCTTTGCTCAAAGTGGTTACATTCGGTTTGTAGCAAAAGCCAGAGAGAGCTTTCTTTCTAGATGAATGTCAGAATTTCATTAGTAGGAGGTTTGGCCTGCTGAGAAGTGGGGGTAGACCTTTGACCAAAGTTGTGCTGCTTCAAAAGCAGTGGACATGGAAAGTTAGAGAAGAAATGGGGCATTAATAGAGGTTATCTGAGTTCTGGGGTGCAGTGAAGCATCCGACACCTGCAGGACACAACTCCAAGGTTTACTGAGCTTGAAGCTTCCATCTGGACCATCAGGTTTAAGAGCTGTTGATGGACCCATCCTTCAGGAATTAACTAAAGCACTTTTTAAAGCCATTTGCATCTTAGCCAAATCCTCTGAAATCTCTGGGCAGTTGGCTTCATCATGTATCTATTTGTTTAAAAAGGAAACAAAACTGCAAATCCTTCTTCATCCTCGTGTTTTAAATTTGCTTCCTGACTTGAGTGAGGACTCATCCTACTTTCCCCTCCTGCTGTTCCCTGTTTTGGCAGCTGTGTTTTGACTCGTTCTGTAATTATAACAGTCCTAGCCAAAAGTGTTAAAAACACGATTAATTTATAACTTTATTTTACAATAGTAAAATAGGCCACTGGTGCTCCTTACATTTGTCTGGGCTGTGACTGAAAAAGTGAACTCATGAAAGTTTTCATCCATGTTAAATGAAAATATGCAGAGTCTGCCACCTGGGGCATAGTGCAAGCTAACAAAAGGTTTTATTCAGATAAACTTTGTCCAGTTACTCTCCCCTGTGCTTGTATAATCATCCTAGGCCATCTTTTACTGTTACCTTGGAATTTTGATTTTGTTTGAACTTTTGTTGGCTTGGTTTGAATTAGATGGCATTCACCCTCAAGATTAATTCAGCTTCAGAATAATCTATTTCGTTTCCAAGCTTTAGAACAGAAGCTGTTCCTCAGCACATGGTCATCACTTCATCACAACTGATCTGTGATTCCTGGAGCTTTGGATCATTGCTAAGTCAAATCCATTATTCCACTCTGCAGGCTAAAACCAACCCAAAATACAAATGGGAGTTCCAAAGTCTTTTATTGTAGCCCTTACACGGCCGAGCTGCCCTCCGGAGGGGTGGACTGAGAGACTCCTGAACCCTGGAGAACGGGTTCATTTCACAAGATCCTTCACATATTTCCAACCTTCCACTGTGTATTCACAGGCCCTGGTGGGAGCTACGGACAGGGCAGACATAGCTGTGTGCACTCCTGCAAGGAAAGCAGAGAATTACCCCAAGATCACCGTCATTCAAGCCAAATTTCCCAATTTCCAACACCTCCATTATAGATCTCTTTTAAGCCCTGAGCATTTGTGACTCAGAAATTCCAACTTCAGGGCCTGTACATGAGTTAAGACAATTATAAGATGGAATTCAGTTAAGTCCCGTTTTATTTCTGGCCTTGCCACAGACTCTATGGATGATGCAGGACATGGCAGTTATTTGTGGATTGTGTCCCCCCACAATTACATGAAGACTCTTTGCTGCACCATAAAAATTATAAATTATCAGGTATTTATAACATGCTTTGGCCTTCAAACAAAAATGTCTAAAATTCTAATAACAATGGGAATGCTCATCCCTTCTGAAAAGCCAAAGACTGAGTTCAGACTCAGTTAGTGAGCATTTATTTTACCTTTATTCCAGGAGTCAGAGAGGGAAAAATCAAATTTTGGAGTGGGTGGGAGCTAGAAAGAAAGAGAGAGACAAAATATCAGCACTCAAGGAGTTTCACTTGGAATTTACATCACCTTGTCAATGCCTCTTGACCTCAGATCTCAAAAATACTTGGGTGCTTACTCTCTGTAAGCCTCTAAAGGGAGCAGACATGGGCTTTACTCTTTCCTGCAATATAAAGTAGGTGCAAAAGATAGAACATATCATTTAGGTTCTCCTGAAAAAACATCTCCATGGCTGTTAGTTTATAGTTGTCTGTAATAGGAAAAATGCTTCTCAAGCTTAAAGCAGAAATCCTCTTCTTATCTGAGGATTTTAAAAACTAAGAACTACTCAGAGGAGCCTCTTCAGGCAATTTATATTCAACTTGATGAACTGTTAGCAATGTAAGAAATTGGGAGGATAGTATTTTCATTGTCATTTCTTGAAAACATGTAGGATCTCCCAGAAGAAGCTTAGAAATACCACTATACAGTGAAATACCTCCCAGACCATGTTTGCAATCCCTTTCTTGACCATGCATAGGCTGGTTACTCCTCTCCTTTGAAATAACATGTGTGAGCAATGTCTCTGCCCCAAATTTAGAACTTTATTCACCTTCCATTTCAATCCTCTTTGACATGAAATCCAGTTTCAACTCCTGCCAGCCTCACTGGAATCAGAATATCACCCCCATATTTTCTCTTCCTCATTCAGAGGAGGTGTCTGTGCTGCAGGGATCACCTGAGCAGTCCTTACCTCCCAGCCCAGGTAATTTGTCCACTCTTGGATAGCTGGAGGCAGCGTTTCTTGAGCTTTTTTGAATGCTTCAGCACCTTCTGTGCCACTGCCCAGCAGCCCCTGATCATATGCCACATACACAGCAGCTCCAGCCAGGCCTCCTTTGATCAGAAACCTGAAAGAATTGAAAGCAGAATAATTCAGTTTGTGTTCTGACCATCAGTGCATCTCTCTCAGTGGTTGTGACTGCCAAAAAGAGGGTATTGATAAAGAAATCTCTTGTCTTGCTGCAGGCAAAAATCAGCAGAAAAATACCTGTCTATGTTCATTGCCTTCCTAGGACAACTATTCCCTGTCAGCCCCTTGAAATTACACTTAATTCACATTTTATCAGTGATGGTTCTCAATATAAAAAATGGGAAAGTGTTAAGTTCCTCAAGAGCATGTGCCACTTTTAAAGCCTGAGAATCACTGGCAATCCCTGCTAAAAGCAACTAAGGGATTTTGCAGTGGCCAAGCCATCCATGATAATGATAAATCTGACATTTATCTAACAAATCTGACAGACACCAATATCTTGTTAAGCTCATTACAGTCCAGTGAACACCTGGCCGTGGTGTTTGTATTGCCAAGGCTTTTAAAGTTTCCCTGCATGATGTGCAGCCACCAGTTTTTACAGCTGTGATGGCAACCTACCAAAGGGAAGGGGAAGAGAATATTTGACCTTTATCGGCATTTTCATTATAAATAAGATTTGAGGTGACTGATTTTCCCAGGCTTACAGGGCAGAGAGGTGTTATCCCTTTAAAAAAACAGCAAAACCTATTGTACAAGGGGACAACCCAAACCTTGGCAGAGAGCGGTACTGCAGTAGTGGGACTTAAGACAGATATAAGAGAGCTGACAAGAGACAATTTTTTAAGTCGCGTATTCACAAGCATTTCGGGGAAAAGGGATTTCCCTGCTAAGATGCACTGTTCGCCCCCAAGGATACCGTTCCGCACTCCCTCGCTGTGGGTGTACGCCCAGCTCCGAGCACCGCGCTATTCCCGATCTTATGTTACGTGTCCATGCTCGCCCCCAGCCAGCGGCAGAGCCCTGCCCGGCGTGTGCAGACACACACGGGGAGCTGCCGGCCGCGGGGGCAGGCGAGGCCAAGGGCGCAGAGCGAGGCGAGCAGAGCCGAGGGACAGGGCCGGCCGCGGGCCTGGGGACGGGCCGAGGACAGCCGGGGAGCACTGAGGCACCGGGAGCGGCGTGAGGCGCTGGCCGGGCGGGGAGTACGGGGGGAAACGCCATGCGGAGGGTGCGGGAGGGCGGGGGCCGGGCCGGGCCGGGCCGGGCGGGCAGGGCCCGCGGGACTCACTTGACGGCGGGGAGCAGGCGGGCGGCCATGGCGGCGGCGGGGCCGGGACCGGGACAGTCACGTGCCCGCGCGGCCCCGCCCGCGCCGCCGCCGTGAGGGGCGTGAGGGGCCGGGCAGGGCTGAGGGCGTGAGGGGCCGGGCAGGGCTGAGGGCGTGAGGGGCCGGGCAGGGCTGAGGGCGTGAGGGGCCGGGCGGGGCTGCGGGCGGTTTGTCGCTCCGTGTCCCGG